CATCTTTATTGGCATGAATGTAAAACAACATCATTGCCAGAGCTACAAATAAACTGGCTGGCGTCGGCGGGGGGGAAACCTACGAAACCTACATTCCTAAAGTTTAAAGAGAGAGAGCTCTTTCCTCTGGACACGGATCCATTTCATAACAAAACCAGGTTTTCGGGGGGTTTTGACCTCTGACTTTGAGGAAAAACCGCCCTGAATTCAGCCGCCGAGGAGACGAGGAGCACAAACACTTGATGCGAGCAGCCTCTTTTCATGCCGTCGTCATGGCAACAGAGGAGAGAAGATCTTCGCCGCTGCCATGTGTGGCGTTCAGCACGTGTTCGATCCAAGTGTGTGGGGGGGTCTCTGCAGCTCATCGAGTCCCTTCAACCAATCAGAGCCGTCCCTCAAGTGACATCTGACTGATAGACTGTGGTACCAGTGCAGTACAAGTACTCGTCTCTGTAATGAGAGGGTTCACTGTAGTCACCGAGCGCAGGACTGATCTTAGTACTCAATCTAGTATCAACCCCACATCTAGACCTGTAGCAGCTCCACTACTACTACCAGTACAATCATAGTATTACCTGTAGAATATACTGCAGTACATCCTGGTACTAACCTTAGTGCTAAATCTATAACTCAACCCCAGTATTTACTCTGATAATGTTAACTCCACCTGTAGCACCAGTTCCAGTGTCAACTCTAATAATATTATAATAATAATAATGTAGAGATTTAAAAGCACCTTTTAATACACAAAATACAGATTAAACTGATAAAAAAAGTTTTTTATATGAGACTTTTAAAAGGAAGAAGGAGGAAAATAATAAAAGGTTAAAAAAGGTAAAATAAATACAGTAAAACAGAATATTAAGAATATAATAATAAGAATAATAATAATAATTAAATTAAATGTGAATCCAAATCTCTTTGTTTGCCAAATGGATTTTGTATCTTGGAGATACAGCACAATAAAAATAAAGTGACAGGGTAAAGTTAAAGTAAAAGAAGCCTTAACATGAAAATAATCATAAATAAGAAAATGTATACAAGTGAAGTACCTGAATAAATACGCAAGTTAAATAATAATATATACCACACTGCTGCATATTGCACAGACTCGGAGAGACGGTGGGTTCATAGTAAAGAATACTGTGTGGATGTGTGTGTTTGTTTAACTGTTTATTTTCATCCGTTAATGTCCAAAAAAAATGTGTAAAATGCTGAAGTTAACTAATCCAAACCGCTCCTTATGCCCGACCAACAATCCAAAACCTGAAGTTTTACAGGTGCAAACATTTTCCAAAAACTACGGTTTCACTAATTCGCCTGTAGTGTACGCAAATACTGTGGAAAACTAAATTTTCTTCTGTAATTTAATTCCAAAAATGAAGTCTTCATATTCATCGGTTATAATGACATACGAGCCACGTCTGCCACAAATATGAAGCCATGCGGCAGCCGTCCCTGTGGATTTACTGATGGAATAATGTGTTTTGGACTAAATATTTTCGTCTGGACCTTTGACAACATAACAGTTTTTGTTGGAACATATTTGATCGGTCGTTTAAGTTACTGTCGCGTCAGTTTTGCTTGTACTGGCTGGTCTATCTTGAAATGGTTTGCATTGGTGGAATCACAAGGATTTTAGCTTTCAAACGGTGGATCACATGAGTATGAAGTTAACAGAGCAGCTGTGCGCACAGACCGAAAGCTGCCGCCAGGACCTGACGGCCTGTGGGCGGGACACTGGAATGTTAAGAGGTTAATAAACAACAGCCACATGAAGAAATGAAGAGCTACATGATGTCTCATACTCCTGTAATACAGTATTTATATCTAGTGCATCAAGTGTGACCACTGACAGATACAACGACAATCTAAGTCTCTCTGTTTCTGCACCACAGTCCATCATAAACCACCTTAAACATGAAGTTTACAAAGGCATTGGCTGGTGAGGATCAGGGCTCCTCTCGCTTTGCTTAATTATATAAGCAATCTGCAAATATTACCAAAATGTCTTTTTGAATTTTTTGTAATACAACAGAAACACAAAGTAGAACTGACTGACTGACTGCCATAATTTCAGCTTGTGGTAAAACGGTGCAACGTTTTAATGGGCATTTAGCATGTGAAAGTATAAATTACATATTTGTGTGCACAGTGGGAAGCAATATCCAGTAAGTTTTTTTTAATGCAAATTCTTAAAGTATTCATTATTGGTCACTTAATAGACACACGGTCTTGTTATCACCATTAGCAGTAAAAAGAAATACATGTTTTCCACCAGGGCAGTAAAATGTGAAGTTTAGCTGCTGAACTGAGCTTCCCTGCTGGTTCATTACCAATAATATTCATCAGCTGTTTGTCTCAGGAAGGTAAAGGCGCATTTCTGTCCACGTAACAAAGCCATAACAGAGGCTGGAGAAGAACTACATGAAATTACAATCCAACTACATATTTTTTCTACCAGTGCAGTAAAAGTTTAGCTGCTGATCTGAGCTCCGATGCCGGAAGCTGCCTTTTATTCCCAATTAGTGATCAGCTGATTGTCTCAGGAATGTAACAAAACCAAAACAGAGCGCTGGAGAGAGAGTCACTACATGAAATTAATCCAACTTACATATTTTACACCACAAGCCAAAGCACAGCGCTGGAGAATAAACCAATCCAACCAACCTACATAATTTTTCTACCAGGGCAGTAAAAGTTTAGCTGGCTGATGCTTCCATGCTCTAAGCTAACGTTACGTCTTTATTGCCAATTAACGTTACTGATCAGCTGAATGTCTCGCTAACGTAACCGCCGAAGCCAACCGAAAGGCTGGAGAATAAGTAGGCGACATGAAATTAATGCAACTACATACTGACAGGGGAAAGACCTCACAGAGATTATAGCCAGCTTCTAGCTGAAGCTATCAGACAAGTTTTCATTTGCATCGTTAAAGTCCGACAAACTTAAGTTAATTACCTGTCAGCAGCGCTTTGAAAACATCTGTCCCACATTATAGTCTTCCATCTGGGAAAATCCACAACATACGTGATTTCTGCCGTCAGCTGTCTGCATCTGTCCCGACTCCGTCTGGCTTCATGGTAGAAAGATCCACAGACTGTCGTGCTAAATAACACGTGTTCTCCCTCATTTGTCCAAATGTCACTTCTCTTCTTACCTCTAATAAACCAGAAGACTACTCAGAGACCGTTTATAATTAATATTATTAATTCCTCTTCTTCTTTTAAGGACACATTTAATGTAGTGACGGGCGTCTACACTGCCGGAATTATACAAGTAGAAGAAGAAGCCGTGATGACGTAACGCGCCGTTTGTCCGTTGTCGGCTATTGTAAAGAAAAATGACAACAGCGACCTCCATGGAAGGGGGCGCCTGCGGTTATGTAGATATAAATGTCTCATTCTGAGGTAATAAGAACATAACGGTTCATTATGTGAGGTCTTTACACACCACTGAGAACGTAGTTATGGATCATATATTGCATTTCTGTCAATATATATCCAAATATTACACACTGGACCTTTAATGTACGCACTCTGGAAACGTTGAAGACCTAATTAAATCTCTAAATTTAAATTAATCTCTGTCTGGTTCAGTGAAGTTCAAATGAACTTTTCTAGGATATTCAAATTTTTTGAGATGCACGTGCGTCTCTGTGTTTATATGTGTGAATATACTAGGGCTGACTGTCAATCTTACAGTCGAAGCTTCGCAGCGAAACAAAGATCACGCCATTTTGGCGATATGGGGGTGCTCAACGTCTGATTTTACATAGAACTACCAGTTTTCTCTCAATAAGTTAATAAACAGCCTGTTACAATATACATTTCAACATTTAATGCTGTAAATAAACATGTAAAAAGAAAAAATCTTTCAATAAATATTTTTAAAGTGCATGAATAAATCCCAAATTGTTACCCTAACCCTGGGTCATCAGTGCTCATGTGTAGGCGGAGCCTGTGTGAGAGACGGAGCTCCAGTTTCACTGGTGTTGTGCCGAGTTGTTCGCAGCTCACAGGACGTTCAGATAATTTATCACTGTTGATGAACCACACAAAGAATATTGTATCGTGTTTTTAAACAGCCGGCTACTTGAAGTAGACCCACGAGGAACCGCGACGTGCAGGCAGCTGTCGGCAGCACAGCATGCACGCAAAACTCACAAAAAATTAAACTTTTCACTTCAATTAAATACAAGACGTCCTGAGATTTTGTTAAATAAACCAACTAAACACCTCAGAGCTGTTTGAGGAGGCACATTAACACCTTTTTAAATAAATAATTAAACAAATGAATTGTATAACAGCAACTCTAGTTTCATCTCTAACTGTAATACCAACACCAGTTTTAGTACTAATCGGTTAAGAGCCTTAGCACTAACTCTAAAGTACATTTACTCAAGTTTACACAAATTTGAGGTACTTGTACTTTACTTGAGTGTTTTCTTTTCATGCCACTTTATACTTCTACTCCACTTTTTACAGCTGGAGTTACTCATTTTATTTATATTTATATGTATGTATGAATGATTCTTCTTTGTTATAAGTTAAATATCCCAACACTTTATAAAAGTGCAGCTGAAACGATTGGTCCATTAATCAACTAATGGACTGACAGAAACATTTGATGGTTTCAGCTTCTCTCGTGTGAGGATTTGCTGCTTTTCCTCTGAATGATTGTAAAATACTGTAATGTTTGTTAATACCGTTGAGGTTTGAACTTGTTGTGATCTGTGAAAGTTTCACTTTGGTCTCCCGTCTCATCACCACGTGTTTACTTTGTTATCTCCCTGGATGTTGGTCACACCTCCTACATTTAGAGCTCGTTGTCTGATGCTGCGTCCCTCCTCCTCCCTCTCAATCCTTCGGTTCAGCCTTTCAGGACGGTGTAAATGTAACTTACCTCTGTGGACCCGGGGTGAAGAATAAATCTGTTCGGGTGATTTCAAACAGAAATATTCCAGTTGTCTTTTTAACGTTGTTGTTCTGACCTTCCAGGTCAGTCACGATGATGTCGGAGACTTTGGAGCAGAGTGACGACGTCCTGCCCCTCCACGAGGTGGAGCCCCACAAGGAGGACGACGGACACTGCCCCCTGCCTTTCAGGTCAGTAACGGCAGTTTAGCTACAAACAGAGCAACGTGACCTGAACTTTTATTTGCAGGATTATGAACATTTTCTGTCTGTGAGAAAAAGTAAAATGGCCGCCCGACAATCCTTTTCAGTTTAAAAATGTTTGATTTTTTTGTCTGTATATATCCACAGGACAGAGATCAGTAGATGAACAAGAGTGTCAGTGTTTCAGGAATATAAAAACCATTCACATTTAACCCTTACGGTATTAATGGGATAAATTCCTTGGGGAAGAAGTAAGAGGTAACGAATAGTGCAATCAGCTGTAAGGAGACAGAAGAAGAAGAGCACAGGAAGTGATGTCAGAGGTCAGAGGTGTTATCAGAGGAAGCGTTCTCTGCAGAGTTTTCAGGAGCTTCTTGAAGTCAGAGAGAGACGCCCCTGCTCTGATGGCATGTGGTAGCTCGTTCCACCATCGTGGTGTCACAGATGAGAACAGGGACTGAGGTCGCTTTGTGTGAAGGGATGGCAGAGCCAGGCGGCGTTCGTTGGAGGAGCGCTGTGGCCCAGAAGGAACTTATGGAGTTTAGATAGATGGTGCAGAGCCAGTGGTCACTCTGTATGCAGCATCAGGGACTTGGATTGGATTCTGGAGGCCCCGGGGAGCCAGTGGAGGTCACAGAGTAATGGAGGGACATGAGTCATTTTGGGCTGATCAGAAACCAGACGTGATGCTGCGTTCTGAACCATTTGTAGGGGTTTCACCGCACAAGCTGGAAGAGCTGCTAGGAAGCAGAGAGGTAACCACAGCCTGTACCAGGAGCTGGGTGGCGTACTGAGTGAGGTAGGGCCTGATTCTCCTTATGATGTATGGAGCAAAGCGGCACGACCGAGAGACAGTAGCAACGTGGTCTGAAAAGGACAGCTGGTCATCAGTCATTAAGTTTCTCACCACCCTGGTTGGAGTGATGGTTGAGGAGTCAGTGTTCAGTTTGATGTTATGGTGGATAGATTGCTTGGCTGGAATGACCAAGAGTTCAGTCTTAGAGAGGTTTAGTTGAAGGTGGCGAGACTTCATCCATGCAGATTTGTCCAATAGACAGTCCGTGATCAGGGGTCATCTGGCGGGAAGGATAGGTAGAGTTGCGTATCGTCTGCGTAGCAGTGGTAAGAGAAGCTCTGCGAGCGAATGAGTGTAAACTGAGAAGAGAAGTGGCCTGAGAACCGAGCATAGAACAAGTTTTAGTAAAATATATTGCTAAAGCAGCATGAAAAAATGAACATTAATGTTCTTGCTTCTGTTTGCGTTTTGGAGCTGCAGTTCCCATGCTGCTTTGGGGGATTTAAACAGGAATTGTAATGTTGCCATGCATCCAGTGAGGTAAGCTGTGGGCTACAAGTGAAGCCATGTTTTGTTTAGCCTATATTTGTTCACATTTAGTAAGGCTGCAACTAACGATTAATTTCATTTTCATTGACTAATCTGCCGATTATTTTCATGATTTGTCGACTAATCGTTTAGTCTATAAAATGTCAAGAAATTGTGAAAAATGCTTATTCTAATTGTCCATGGTACAAAGCTGCTTCTTTTGTCCAACCAACAGTTCACAATGCAAAGACTCTTCCTTCACTGTCATAAATGACTAAAATAGCAGCAATTTCTTACATGTAACCAGCAAATGTTTAGAGACCTATTGTGCTTTACCACATTTTATGACTTATCTTCACTGTTACTATGTTGGATGTTCATGTAAAACATGGCCAAAGCTTCAAAAAATGAGGTTAAAGTATTTAAAAGAAATCCCTGTCAGCAAAAACCTCAGATTTCCTCCTGTTCTGAACGCTCTGTTTTCAACTGCTTTTTCTACCAACGGCTCCTTAATACGTAATAAGGAGCCATTGTTCCATATATGGTCATGTGCTCAGTCTGCCTGTTCTGCCCAGCAACATAACAACAGCCTGGTAACATGCTTCAGTTCTTGGCCAATCAGAAGACAGTGGGCTTTGCCTTAAAGAGACAGGAGCATCTACAGCTTGTTTCAGACAGAGGCTGAAATGAAGGCCTACAGGAAGAATCAGTATGAGAAAATATTTTATTATTTTTTTAACTTTCAATCATGCAAAGCTGCCATACAGGAGTCACAGAACTACAAAATAGGACAGGAAAACAGTATAATAGGTCTCCTTTAACATTTTTGCTTAAAGAAATGACTGTAACGATTAATTGATTATCAAAATAGCCATCGATTCCTTTTCTTTCGATCAACTAATCGATTAATTGTTGCAGCTCTAACATTTAGTCAAACTGTCTTCATTTAAAGTAGCTGAATTAGCTATTAGCTGCTCCTGCTAGCTGTTCCTGTTAGCAGTTAGCATGAATGTACAGACAGCTATCACAAGATAACTGTGACACTGAAGAAACATTGAAGAGTCTCAGGCGTGTTCTGCAGCGTCTGTTGTCTCTTAAGTGGATTTATGAGACATTTCTTCAAAAATGAAAGTCAGCGAGGAGTCGCAGTGAATCTAAAAATATGTGTGCATCAGGTGTTATGACTCAAAGAAGTAGGAGTATGATTTCTGATCCAAAAAACTTTCAAAGCAGCTTAATCAGCTCCATGATCTGTGTGTCGCAGCCACGGCAGTCAAATCAGCTAAACTACAATAACACCTGAAAGCACCTGTCCCCGTCACCACACACAGTGTCTTTTTATTATCTGTTTGTTGTTGTTGTTGTTGGCAGCTACACTTCACTTATGTTTATGCACATGAGGACTATTCATGGCAGGAGCAAACACAGCTAAAAAACAAGCTAGACGCCGTCTGGTGTACGGCTCGCCCACAGATGTTGTGTCTAAAAGCAGACTTTGGGTTATTAAATACTTCCTGGCGCGTGTGCATGTTGTTAACATCACCGCAGAGGAGAAGCAGCGCTCAGTTCTGATCTGAGGAAGCGGGAGCGGTCAGCCGGCAGGTGGAAACCTCTTGGCAGCTGCTGGATGTGGACGCGGCGCACAGCTGGAGTACAAATGAATCCAGATGTTGTGGACAGACCACACTAAAGAAGCCGCCGGAGACGCGATTATACACGATAACAAGTGTGAACGAGCGTCGTGATTCCAGATCCCTCCTCCTCATAATCAGCCAGCTCCCTCATTAGTGCTGTGTGTATGTGTGCGTTTGGCAGGCGATGAAAGCTGAGGAGACGTGCAGGACGGACAATACACAGAGAGGGAAAGCCTCACTGTCTCTCTCGCTGCTCTGTTATTCCTGTCACGTACAAAACAAGCTGCAGAATCAGAGGCTGTGGTCATGTGTTTGCCTGCAGCACGTGCAGTCGGCTCACGTTTCCAGGCAGCAGAGCTCGGAGAGAGAGACAGAGGGGCTGATGGGAAGAAAACCCAAACAACAGCCACTAAAGGACGAAGCAAACTCCTGATAGATGACGAAAGAAGAAAATATAAACATTATGGTGCAGACATTTTAAAGTCAGTATGTACCTAAGGCTGGGCGATAAATCAATAATGATTGTCAGAGCCATTAAGAAAACGTGGTCAATCTTTTGGATTATTTCATATTCGAATTAATTTTCTTTTATGTTAATATAACATAAAATATTACCAAGTGAAACACTTGGTAATATTTTATGTTTGTGTCAGACAGATGTCATTAGTAGCTGTGCATCAGGTGTTACGACTAAATAAAACGTCGGATATTTTTCTGCCTCCTTGCCTCACTGGATTATACAGTTTTGCCCTCTTTGGAAAGCACGAGTCAGAAACTTTATGTCCTGCGATAGTGGCAAAAGAAGTTTTAAAAGTTGCCACTACAATGCTAATTATCGCAATATAATTTTCCTCTATAACAACATAACAAATCTTCAATATATTGTCACTAAAAGTTTTCAGATTTAATTCAACAGCATATTTATATTAGGATATTAGGAAGATATTAGGAAAAGGGAACGGTTGGCTGGGAACAACTTTCCCGCTTGAAACACATTTCTGAGGACCACTCTCTGTTTTTCAAAGATCATCAGGTTCATGCGACTGGTTTTGTTTCTGTTTTGAACCCAGACGTCTTGTTTATTACAGCCATGTGTAACATCAATTACTGACGTAACGACGCTCGCCGTCGCCTGGTTTATTCGCTCCAAACCAGCTGATGGAAACGTACAGATTTCACAGTTTCTTTTTTTTTCTTTTTTGCGACATTTTAGTACACTTAAAATTCGCATGATAATTAGATGGAAACATGGCTTATGTAAATCCTTAGTCGGGGACAGCCCTAGTGACTTCACGCCATCTTGAGTCCAAAACAGATGAAGCGCCGCTGCGTTGCACCGTTCACTTGAATTGAACCTGCTCCGTCAGAGTGAATGTTTGGTTTGCACACAGACGAGAGTGGTTCACATATGACTTTAGGATAAACCGTGTGAACTTATTGTCCCAGGCGCACAGCTGGAGTACAGGTGAATCCAGATGTTGTGTAGCGTCCACATGCTGAGTCGGCGTGCTTGTTGATGCAGGACGGCTGCCGGAGACTCTGTTAAACACGGAAACAAATTTGGTGAACAAGCAAAGCTAATGAGCTAAGTGGCTGTTGGAAAACGCCGGCTAACCCCCTCCCTCTAGAAAGCCAGTCATCTGCTTTTTAACAGCCAAGCCTGGAAACATATTAAGCCAATTGTGTGGCACAGCTGAGGTTAGTGACAGTTTCAGATGTTGTGGTGGCGGCGAGGAGCAGGTGTGTGAGCGGACCAGACGCTCTACATGTCCGCCAGAATACTGCGTGAAAAGGCGCCAGATGTGATCCGCAGTATGTGTTAGAAAATACTGTATACAGTAAATAAATGTGTACAGGACATGCTGACTGTGTCCATAATGTTGTTCGAAGTGGGATGAGCTCACGGCGTCACGTCACTTGCGCTCTGGATAGAGCCGTACAGGAAGACGGGGTGATGAAAGCTTGTGCATGTGTAGTAGAAGTATAACCTGCGGGGGAAAAACACATTTTACACCTTAATTTGGAGCAAAGTCATCAAACTTTTTCAGATTTTCCTGCTGATTCTATACGTGCAGGTTTTACGTCCCGGTGACCAGACGAAGTGAAGTTATGGATCTCAAAATAACTGAGTGGCGGGACTTGCCTAAATAAGGACTTTCCCGCCACTTAACATACACGCAGACCAAAACCCACAATTCAGTTTAGCAAAAGTTCAGAAACATGATTTACACCCTCACCGGTAAAGAGGTCGATGGCGTCGGACGATGCGCCTCGTTTCCTGTGAATCCCTCGTGCATTTGGACACAATTTGAATCCGTGAGAGACCAATAACAATGAAAACTACTCTAGTACAGTTTGCAAAAATATTAAGCAGCTACAGCTAAATAATTACTCAACATAAAAAACATCAGATACGGGGTTTGATAAAGTTCATCACTGTTTGACATGCAAACAACAGTTTCAGCGTGAACACGGCCTCTTTCTCTGCTCCAGTTTCCCCATTCAGGCCGGAGCTGCTTGCATAATTAGTCCTTTTTGTGTGTGTGTGTGTGTGTGTGTGTGTGTGTGTGTGTGTGTGTGTGTGTGTGTGTGTGTGTGTGTGTGTGTGTGTGTGTGTGTGTGTGTGTGTGTGTGTGTGTGTGCAAGTAAACCATGTCTGCCTCCCAGTAGACAATCACTCCTTTCACACTCTCACACTCTGAACCCTGTGCAGTGGAGCAAACTAAAACCAGCAGTGGCTGATGGGAAATTAACTTTAACATTTCCAGTTCACTTTTTTTTTTTTTTTTTCTCACATTTACACTATTAATACTAACACACATGCTGATCGCTGGTGATTGGCCGGCTGCTGTAATGTGCCGGGTGTTTGTCAGGTGTTTTTTTATCTTTGCATACTTACTTCACGTGGATTTGCTTTCATTTACATGACCATCCTCCATGAACCCTGACGCAAATAAGTGTGTGTGTGCTTCAGTGAAAAACAAGGCGTCTTAGAATTTGTTCAATCAGCCGACCTGAAAGCTGTTAGAGGAGAAGGAGGATTAACACCTTGTGTCTGCGTCACTGCATCAAAGAGGAAGCAGCCTCCAGTTTTCACAAATAAATAAATGTCAAATAAATATATAGTGGAGACAACAGTACAATATTTCTCCCTGGGTTGTAGTGAAGTAGAGCTATAAAGTAGCATAAAATGGAAATACTCAAGTAAAGTCCATCAAAACTGAACTACAAGCTGTAATGATTATGGTTTATTATTTATTTCACGAAGCTCTCGCCGACGTCCGGTGGCCTCTTTTTCCCTCCTTAGCTTCCTTCATCAGCGTCCTCTTCAGACTCCGATGAGGCTGCTGAGCCCGGTGATGTTGCCCGACTCCGGCTCAACACCAGCAGCAGCATGATGTCGTGAGGAAAACTAATAGGAAAAATTATATATATAATGACAGACAGGTGACTTCATGATCAAAAATAATAAATTTTAGCGTTGTGTTTTGATTTTCATGTGCGTTAATGTCCGTTGAATGTACCGGCAGCCACGCCCCCTCCATTCTCTTCTGGTCACCCTACCCACCATGCATATTTTTTATAAGGTGGTCCACTGGGAGGGGAGGTACTTAGGCTCTCTATTCAGATGTTACTAAATCCTTAGTGGTGCACAGAAATACACATCATCACCTTTGTCCAATGGAGCCCGTCCATTTCAAACCTGTGTGTTGGAGGACTGTTGTCTGTCTTTGTCAGACTGAAACATCTGGGTGGATTGTGATGAAACACGTTCTCCTCAGGATGACCTGTGTAATAACTCTAATAACGCCATCATCAGGTCAACATGTTAACGGGTCCAACACTTTGCCATATGACCCAAAACCTGCAGAACTGATGGCATTCCCATCAGCCTCAGCTGCACGCTGTGTTTACTGCTAATTAGCTAATGTTAGCATGCTAACACACTAAACCAAGATGGGGAACATTAAACCTGCTAAACATCAGCATGTCAGCTAACATGCTCTCAGCTCTCAGAGCTGCTGCCACAGCTGCAGACTCTTGGTCTGGTTAACCAAGTTACAGAACGAAGCTCACTGAACCGCAACGTCCTCCTGCTTCACTTTAAACCACCGAGTTAGAATGTTTTCTCACAACACACAGCAGGAAATGCTTCATGCTGACTTCCTGTCTGTATTCACATATTCTGCTGCTTCACTTCTGTCTCTCTGTGTTCTTCCATCAACACTCTTCAGGCTCCGCTGGGCCAAACTTCTCTGAGGAAGTGATGTGCAGAATTGAGAAACGTGTTTCTTAACATGTTCATGGCTCATGCTCATTAATTTTGTGTTGTTCTTACACAGACACATTTACTCTATTTTTGTAATCCACTATGTTATTTTCTCTATTAGGCAACTAAATTTACTAAAATGTTTCTGCAGAGCCACTTTAATTAAATAATGAAATTATTTTAATCTGGGTTCTTAAAAAGTGAGAACTCTCGATACTCTGATCTTCTCTGCTCTCCAGTGGTGGACAGTAACTAAGTACATTTACTCAAATACTTGACTTGTACTTTAGTACAAATTAGAGGTACTTGTACTTGAGTATTTTCTTTTCATGCTTCTGCTCCGTCTCAGAGGGAGATGTTGTACTTTTTACTTCACTACATTTATCTGACAGCTTCAGTTACTTTATTTTTACCCACAGAACACATGAAGAGTTTATAAAATGTAGAAAATGTCAGGACTAGAAAATACTCAAGTAAAGTACAAGTTCCTGAAATTTGTATTTATGTACAGTACCTGAGTAAATGTACTTAGTTACTGTGCATGAGTAATAATTATCTCTTGATATAATAAATACTAGAACAGTCACAGGGGACATTTTTCTGCATTGAGTACTTTTACTTTTAATACTTTTTCATAATTATATATACGACTTTTACTTAAGTAACATTTTTAATGCAGGACTTTTAAAGTGAGGTATTACTACGTGTACTTAAGTAAAGGATGTGAATACTTCATGCACCACTGCTGGTCTCTGCAGAAACTGCAGTTTTTGTTTGCTGTGACAGAATGTGATGTGATGTGTGTCCTGCAGGCTGCAGCTGATCGACGACCTGTCCTACGAAGACGTGAAGAAGTGTTACAGAGGATCAGTGAGTCCTTCACTCTGCAACACAAACACTGTGAACTGATCTAAAAACAACGGCGACACGTCAACACCGCTGAGCCCCCGCACGCCACACCTACAGATGCATGCGGCCGATATAAACCTCACACACAAACACACACAAACACACACAAACCGCTCTGTGCTGGTTTTCAGATGACAACAGGCCAGCAGGAGTCCTTTCAAATCTTTTTTTAAGTCTCTGCAGAAGTTTCCGGAGTCTGTCTCGTCTCCTTGGGAACGCTGGCAGGGTGTGTGTGTGTGGGATGTGTTTCAGCAGTCTACCGTCAGATAATAACATCAACCAGGCGGGAATCGCAGTTTGTGTGTCATTTATTCACAGGGAGCGTCTCTCCTCCTTATTGTGTTCGTGTGCATGTATATACATATTCAGAGGAGCTTCACTGAGAGGAAGCCTCTCTTTTGCAGGAAGACCCTGATCACATTCACACCTGGAAGATGCCCAGTACCTGCTGGCCACTAAGCAGCTTGCTTTCCACACCCAGATTTTTACCCTGCCGGTCCGGGGATTGAACTGGATTGAACCAAGCTCGCTTTTCTAACCTTTGGGCCACCACTGCCTTCTCTACCGTTCAAAAGCTATAAATTAAATTGAATGGTACCAAAGTAAGCAGCAAACTGTTAAAAACAACGTTTACGTCACCAAACAGACATTTTTCAGATATAAAATTAACAGTTAAATGAAGGAGTTTTGTTCATTATTTCACTGTATGATCAACCGATGACCAGCTGCTCTGTCTGCCTTCTTTAATACATATGATCCTTGTTGTTGATTGTAGAGAATATTTATGCAAATTTTATGACCTTTGAGCTGATTATTTGTAAATTGTTATGTCTGTGTTTTGTCTGCAACCTTGTTAATTGTGCTGCTGCCTGGCCAGGACGCTCTTAAGGCTATAAATAAATATTATATATAGATAATATTGTACAAATAAAGCTTCTGAGGGTGCATTAACAGGCTGTTCAACGGTGTTTACACTAGAAATGTGTTTCATTTCCTTCCACTGCTGCAGAATAACCAAAGAAGGGAAAGTTTAGGTCAGCAAAACTTAGTTAACAACAACATCAAGTTATTCTGCAGCAGTGGAAGGAAATGAAACAAAACCCATTTCTACAGTAAACACAGTCCAGGATCAACCAGACCATATCGGGTCCAGTTCACGTGGCAGTGAATGTACAATCTTTTAGATACTGTATCAAGCTTCTAGCCTCAGACAGTACAAGATGAGAGACTCCAGTATCAAGAGAGACAGAACGTCTTTGTGACAAAACGTCTCTACTGTCAAAGTTTCGAGTTTGACCCAAATGTTCAAACTGACCTCGGGAGCTTCAGACGGAGGCGTCGAGCTGCTGCTGCTGTTTTCTGTTGTTTCAGTCTTTGTTGTTTCAGACAGGAACAGGAAGGCAGGAAGTCGCTGGCTGACAGGTGTTGGGGGGGGTAAAAAAAAACAATACGTACACACAATATTCCAGAAAGTAGTGGTTTACTTTGTAGTCATGTATTCAGATCCTTTGCTTAAGTAAAAGTAGCAATACAACAATTTAAGTAAAAGTCAAGTACAACAAATTAAAATTTTCAGTAATCATTCCTTCTGAAATGCAGCACGTCAGACTACTCAAGCGCCGTAGTCAGCCTTATTGTGATGCACTGTATAGTGATTATAAGACAAATATTACTAATACTCAATACTCAACTTCAATTGATAGGCCAGGATTTTATTTTCTTCTATTACTGAAGTCACCCTGTCTGTATTTGGGACAGGCCTTCAATTCTTTTCTCATAAAACTCTCACTCAGCAAAGATGAATGAATAAAGAATAACACTTTGGTGCTTATTGTTTCCATAAAATGAAAAGAACAATTAAATTGTGGGTAATTCAACTGATCTAACGATGTGTCTGTTGACAAAACATTTATATTCGTATGTGTGATCTAAGCAGCTCAGAAGACACTGAAGCAGGCGACCTGGTGGACTTGAAGAGGTTTTATTCATCCTATAGAACTATAAAAACCAGACCAGACTTCTAATCTAGACCTGTGTGTATTTGTCAAAATGTGTAGTCACACCAGGCCAGGAAAAGGGACAGGCGGCCAACTGAGACTACGCTTTTAATTAAAGTTTTAGGGTATATTAACACTTATTTAATTTATTTAATCAGGTTGTGAGACCGAGATGTCTTTCTTTTCATCAGGAGAACTAGTCTGGCAACAGGAAATATTTTATCGTCAGATTTAAGTTCTTCGATACGCAGCCAGGAAAGTGCTTTTTTTGGTTGTGAAGGAAAATTAAGCTTGTTTAGTCTTCCTGAAGAAGAAAGCGCCAAACAAGACTAGATACAGTTTCTTTTTTTAGGCCAACAACTGCCTGGTAAACACGCTTTAGGGTCTTGGCCAATCAGAAGATAGTGGGCTTTTGGGTGGGGGAGAAAGAGAAGAGCAACAACAGCTTGTTTCAGACTGAGGCTGAAATGACGGCCTGCATGAATACAGAAAATTATTATTTTAATAATAATAATTTTTATTTATTTTATAACTTTGAATCAAGCAAAGCTGCCATACAGGAGTCACAGAACTACAATATAGGACTGGAAATGCAGTATAATACTTTTTTAATAAAAAAAACAATTGAGGAGTTGTGAAAGTGAATGAACGTGAAATAATAGTCTTAAAATCGCGGGAGGAAAGATTGTAATTTGAGAGTTTGCATCTCCTTCAGTTTAAAAGGTGAATGGTACCAGAAACCAGTTCTGCCAGCTCTGGTATATGCAAGGCAGAGTATTATTAGATTGTGTGGTTATGAGATTTTAATGAGAGATGTGTGGTAGTTTGGAAGCTGTGGAGAGTTGTACAGATACAAATATCATGAGTTTGATGTTTTATTTGCAAGTCGAAACTTAAATATGAACCTCGAATTAGTTTCCTCTGTCAGCGTCCTCTTCGTCTCTTTGCCTCTGCCATGTTATGTCCATATGTTTGGTTATGTTGCCCACTCGGCCGGCTCCGGCTCACACAAGCACTTACAGTAATGTTACAGATGTCCGAGTGTGTTAGCTAATAAGTTTGCTAATATGAACTCCAGATTTACTGTATAGCTAGCAGCTAAACCTGATTTCTTCGAGTCGACAACTTTGCTAACAGCCAAACAAACAAGCAAGCACAACAACACAAGACACAGTGAGCAGCTAATAAGTTATTACTCACTAGTCTAACAGAAAGAAGGCCAGCTCGCCGTCACTAAAAGCCAGTCTGATATTTACTCTTGTCCTCTCTCCTGCTCGGTCACTCTTTTTTTTTTTCTCTTCCTCAGCCTGTGCCATGATATCCATACTGAGAATACCGAGCTAGCTTCTCCCAAAGAACTTACATTGTACATATACTTTTTGCTGCTTCTTATAGCTTGCTTACTTTGTTGAAGTGTTAAAGTGCCGTAAAGCATTGCACTTCAGGTCTACACAGTGCAATAGAAGGCTTCCACACCCAGAGATGCACTGATGGTGACGTCACTCAAAGTAGCATCAAAATTATTCCAAAGCTGTTATTTTAAGATAAAATTACAACATAATGTTCCTCTTAGGAGATGAGTCAGGGTCCTCTTTGGGCCATACAAAACTGTGTCATCTGCATAAAAACGGACATTAATGGGCAGATTAGCAACAGTAATGTTATTTATACTGTAACTAATAATGAGCCAACAATAGACCCCTTTAGCACCCCATCAGTGATGGTAACAGGGCTCAACTCGTCATCATAAGCAAGTTCACCCTGTAAATATGATCATTAAATCAATTATTATATTGATTTTAAAACATATCTGCTGACTGTCTGGGATTGATTCTGTTCCTCCTGCTGCCTCCACAGACCGTCAGCAAGTACAACTCTCAGTACCACAAACTCTTCCAGACCGTCCCCACAGAGGAGATCCTGATGAAAGGTATGGACTGTCTCTTATCTGTCCTAACCTAATTTATACCGACCTGGTGCTAGCTCATATGTGCTGCATGTTGTTTCCATGGAAAGAAACTGATCTTTGTTTCCAGCTCTTGGTGGAAAAGTCTGATCAGTTAACTGTCTCTCCTCCTCTTCTTCTTCTTCTTTAGTGTATTCGTGTGCGTTGTTGAGAGACATCCTGCTGCAGGGTCGACTCTACATCTCCAGGAACTGGCTGTGTTTCTACGCAAACCTGTTTGGTAAAGACATCAAGGTGAGCGAATAAGGAACCACCTAAACCCGTGTCCACAGAAGTCTGGTGAATTTGAAAACACATTTCCTATGAGCTGTGACGGTCTTTTAAAAACTCTTTCTAAACTGGATAAAGCCAGAAACGCTGGTCCAGTTGAAGACCACTTCCTTCTACCTTCTAGCTTCCTCTATAACAACCATAAACTTAGGATAATCAGTAAAGATGTTTAATAAATAATCCAGATTAACGTTACATTAACTAGAGTAGATATGTCAAAGAAGCCACCAGTATTTGAGGAAATTAGAGAGTCATCATCACTTTTTAAGTGTGAAGTGTTTTCAGTGTAGTGAGTCCCCAAGGCCAACAGGTGGCCATTTAAAATGTGTTTTTTGTTATCATTAGCATTTTATTGATACTGCTACAGAAATTATGTTAAAAAAAGAATAAACTCAAAACAGAATCAGAATTAAATATTTTAAATAAAACTTAAAGTATAAGTTAATGTTGTTTCTGGGGCAGCAACAGTAATGTTTACAACTGCAAAGTCACTATATACTGTATACTCTTTCTACACGTTTACGTGTTTATCCTTGTTCTACACAGAGGAAGTTCTACCAGTGATTTTATCTATCTGCCTACTGAAATAGCAGTCAGAAGATGTGAGATTTGATTCCCCTGAATGAGAAGCTCAGGACTTTCCTCTACATGGAGATACTGGTGAAATGAAAATAAGCGTCCATAGTAAAAAAATATCAACAATGACACATTAATCAGTCTCTTGGTGGGTTTTACAGATAAGCAATTTTGCAAGATTAGATTTCCGCCCTTATTCTCAGAACACATATTTTCAATGCAATATGACTCTATAAAATGAAGTAATGGTTGACTGTACTTGACAGTATACAGTGACGGAAAGTGACACTTTCTTAGAAGCCTTGTTTTCTACGTCACTTCCAGTTAAAGAGGTTTAAAAAAATGCCAGGTGGAGATAAAAAGTCAGTTTTCTTATAGACAGAATTGTAAAGTTTTGTAAAAGGTCAGGACTCATCTGCACTATGGGAACATGAAGATGTGAGGAGAAATGGTAAATGACTTTATTATAAAAAATACACAAATACATCATCCCCATATTTCTCTATTGAGGCAACGTGTGTGTCTTTGTTTGACATTTGTTATCAACTTTATTTATATAGCAGACTTAAAACAACCAAGGTGCTTTACAAAGTAAAATACAGCAATAAAACAGTAATAACTAAGTAAAATACAGCAATAAAACAGTAATAACTAAGTAAAATACATCAATAAAACATACAGTAGTATACAGTATATCATAGACTGTATGATATATTGTATACTGATAATAGGATAATAACTTTCTTTACTCGAAGGAAATGCCAAAGAAAAGAGATTTATTCTGTAATTCTGTAAATCTGTCCAAAGTCCAGGTGGAAGCTCATGCACCTCACTTCTTGTCATTTAGGAGAATTACATGAAGCTCATGGAATTTGTGATTTAGTTAATGTAAAATAGCTGTTCTCCTGCTACAACCAGAATCTGAGCGCTGGGCGGTAGGTGCTCCAGCAGCAGAGGCAACATAAAGTGTTTGCTCTGACTTTCAAACCAAAATGTTGAATTTTTATTATCTCTCTTTTCTGAATCTGCATCAGGTCTGTATACCAGTGGTGTCAGTTCGGCTGGTGAAGAAACACAAGACGGCCGGCCTGGTGCCAAACGGGCTGGCCATCACAATGGACACCGGACAGAAGGTGACTCACAGGACCAGTACACACCAGAGATTCCACATTGTTATCAGTAACTGTCCAACAAGCAGTTTTATAGGGAGTATACTGACAGCCTAACAGGCCGGTTAAAGCAGAGGGGGAAAGAGTACAAAAATATTCTACTTAAGTAAAAGTACAATTACTTTGATGAACTTTTACTTAAGTACAAGTTACCGGTATAAAATATCTACATATTAATATAAAATATGTAAAATATAAATATCTATCTAGCTATAAAGTAGCTCATTTAAAATTTACTCAGAGTAAACGTTACTTTTTTAACCTAAAATAATTACCAAATTACTGTTTAATAATTTCAACTTTTGCAAAATGAACATTTATTAGCTTATATAAGTGTGAACAGACTCACATGGTAAAATCCATAATGTTAAATCTATACAGGCCATCTTAACTAGAAAATGCTCTCAGACAGTTTACTGAGTGATGGTTAAAATATGTAATTGTAACTGTACATCTGATTGGCATGATATGTTAATCACCCGGTTTCTACGCTGTTTTGCGGCCGTGCCGTTATTATGCATGCGACACGTATCGTTACTGGTGGTAACAGCAGATGCCTTTTAATTCCACAGGGCCCAGAAGTCTTTGGCAGCTAAACAAACCATTGTCGGACAGTTATTGGTGTTTTCCATAATTCTGTGAGCAGTCATGATCTGACTTTATGCTGCACACAGCATGAGTCTGCGAACAGTGAAGGTTACCTGGCTGAAGGTGGAGGCGTGCAGCTCTTTATCTAACAGCTCACTGTGTCTGCTGCTGCTGACTGTTGCATTACTCACCGCGATATTTCAAACTGGTCCGCTGTCAGAAAACTCTTGAAAATGACAGTTGTCATGTTGTTTAGCCGAATTTTTGATGAATGAGAGCGATCAGCGCTGATCTCCCTTACAGATTGCACTTCCTGTGCCTACTTCAAAAGAAGTCATCTCGTGTTTCGCCAGTTAAATGCTTTTAATGTGAAGCTGCAGCAGCAGGAAATGTTCAGTTTGCATTAGCAGTAACTTAAAACAGCATTTTTTCACTGCTTACACCACATCATGATGAAGCTGTTCTTCTCTTGCACCAAAGTTTTTTCTCCTCAGTAATGGACGTGATTGAAAATGTAGCGAAGTACAATACTTTAAACAAAACATACTTAAGTAAAAGTAAAATTACAGATTTAAAAAAGCTACTTCAAAAAGTACAAGTACACAAATAAACTACTCAATTACAGTAACGTGAGTAATTTCCACCTCTGGGTTAAAGCTCTGTGCTTTTCTGTTTATACTGTTTATAACCTGCTGTCTGTCTCTCTGCAGTACGTGTTTGTGTCCCTGCTGTCCAGAGACAGTGTCTACGACGTCCTCAGGAGGATCTGCACTCACCTGCAGGTTTGTGGATCATCTACATTTATTCTCTCGATAAACAGAGACGTCACGGTCAAACTATCATGTTTCTATTACAGAATATATCCCAGGGTCTTCATGTGTGACTGCTTCTCTGTGTTCAGGTGAACGGGAAGAGTCTGAGTCTGAAGCAGTACCTGGAGGAGCCCAGCTCTCTGTCTATGGTAACGTTACATTCAAATGAACCTGCATTTAGAGAGCGTTTCTGTCAACCAGCCCCATCAGATTACCTTTATATAACCTAAAGAGTGTAGCCGGTGGCGTCTAGCATTGCGTGCATTGTGTTATGATACAGAGGCCCAATCCCAGGATGTCTTTGGAGGGGATCTCTATTTATTCTGACAAAACAGGTAAATAATAAAATCCTCCGGTCGATTGTTTTGATGTAGCTTGAGCCCCCTCTCTCCTGGAGAAGGAACTTTTGTAACCATTGTTCAAGAAACTCTAGTTATGGAAGGTACTCTTTTAATCACTACTCCAGTGCCAGAACCAGATGGTACTGCTCTCTGTCCCCGGAGGTACTGCTTTAACTACTGTTCGAGAAAGTACTACTCTAATTGCAGAAATAACTACTCTAACCACCGCCCTAGTAAGTATTACTCTTACTCCAGGAGGTAGCACTGTAACCACTGTTCCAGAGGGTACTACCCTCACTCCAGGAAGTTCTACTACAACTTTTCCAGAAGGTACGACTCAAATGCCAGAAGAGACCACTCTTACCACTGTCCCCAGAGGTACTGCTCTAAATTTAGGAGTTAATCATCCAACAGCTTTTTGATGTAACTTGAGCTCCTCTCTCCTGGAGTACAACAGCAAAAGAACCTACGAGCAACCAATACAATAAACCACAGAAAACATACCTGTTAAAAGAGCTAAATAACAGAGTACAAGGTTGTTTATTTGTCATTATACAGCACAAGGCTGATCATTGAAACGAAATTTGTAGTTCCTTCGGGCTACACACAAAACATATAATTAAGTGTAGGCCTATATTAAAATATATATAAAATAAAATACAACAATACAGTTATTTATATGCATTCATACAGGCACCCCGAACATTACACAGTGCATTTTTTGAATTTGCATGCGGTGAATGTAAACAGCAGTATGAAAGTTTCGTCTTCACAATAAACAGTGTGACATTTGAGTCCATCTTGACTGCGTTTGTGCACCAAGCATCATCGATGAAAACCCACTGAAGGAGTCCAAATAACAAAAATAAAAAGTAAAGTCAATTTAAACACAAATAAAATGACATAGGAATATATTAGTACACTACACAAGCTTAAGCTAGCAAGATAACTTATAAATGTATTTTAACAGGATGGCACGTAAGTTTGTATGACCACGATGTTGTTTACTTCTCCCATTACAGCAGCTAAAGAGAAGAGGTAAGAGAGGGAGACCCCGTTTACAGGGAGGAGCCCCATCAAAGTGAACGTAGCCGCGCAGAACATACGTCTCAAACGTTTTTCATATTGACTCTGGAGGTTTAACATGTCAGGTTAATACTGTTTACACAGAATACTGTGTAATTATAATACTACATGTTTGACTTACATGTAGTGGGAAAAGAAACTGTGAATTATGTTTCTGCGGAGATAAACGTGTCTGTGGACGACGCTCTCACCGCGACTAACTCAACGTGAAGCAAACTACATGGCTGATCCCAGTGTCTGAGGAGGTATTCAGGTCCTGTACTTAAAAGTACTATTACTACAAAACTAAAATACTTGCCGTTTTTCAAATACCAGAACCGGCTCAACTCCACTCGGTTTAGCCGTCCTCCGTTTCCATTGCAGATAGTACCAAGGGATAGAGAGCCTAAGTCCCTCCCCTTCCGGTGGACCACCATGGGACCTTATTCTGGAAAAATATTGTACGGTAGTCAATGGCAGGAGACGACAAATATTTTGATCCCATTTGAATTGTGCCCTGTCAAGAAAGTCAAGAAAGTTGCAGTTTGATGTAAAACTGTTCAGGTATAAGACTTTGAAAATACATAATTACAAAGACCACAAACCAAAAAGTCTCGTATGTGACGTCGTAACTTTCTCTGTCAATGACTGAAGCTAACGTCAAAAAACTTCAAAAGGAAAACGTCAAAAAACAAAAGGGCCGAGAGTCGTTGGATTAAACACATCAGGTGAGATAAATTTCTGCGGGAAACACGGCTAAGTAATCCAGCTAGTAGCCACCAAGCAACGAACGTTAGCTTAGCATTACCGCGCTAACATGTTGGTGACGTATATTGTGCGAGATGAGAGATGTAGTTCGTTGAAGAGTTTTCACACAAAACAACATGTAACTTTACTGTTTTACGACAAACTGCGACTTTCTTGACGGACAAAAATATATTTTAAATTGACAAACGTCATTATGTGTAATTCAGAGCTCAGTTCAAACAGGAGCATAAAAATAAGTTGTCTCTTGCCGTTGACTACCGTACATGTTTTTTCCGAAATAATGTCCCATGAGACGTAAGTGGTAGTGAGTGACTTCGGCTCTCTATAGTACCTCTCAATATAGCACACAACTGCCACGACGTAATGTTCAGTGCGATCCACACAGCTGTCTCTTGATTTAAGTTAAAACATTTGAACATTCCTCAGAATGTAAAGACAGATAAGCGGTATGAAAACCTTCCTGCTGTGTTTTCCTCTGCTGTTGTTGCTGCAGCGGTCTGTGTGACGGCGGGAGCAGAGGGCTCTGTGAGCGGGCGGCTGGCCGGCCTCACACGCTCCTCCCACACAGGCTTCTCGCGGAGCTCCTCAACTCCGAAAATATTCAATAACACATTTTTGTTCCGCCATCACTTCTCGTAAAACTGTCAATATTCAAAATCTACACAGTTGATTTCTCACCTCAAAACTTCTCAGAAGTGAATTTAGTGATGAAATAACACACGAAAACTGTAAAATATAAAACTTTCTGGTGCTGGCCACTGTCTGGTGACGATTCTCTCTGACCAATCAGCAGTCTGTCCTGTTTTCTCGTTACATTTTAGTATCCCTCAGCTCGCTTGGAACCTCGAGGGAGGTGATACGAAAAAAGTACCTGGAAGCAGGTACAGGTGCAACATTTCCACAGTGGAAAACCAAAAAAAGCCGTGTTGAGCTGCAGTGGAAAAGGGGCTTTAAAGTATTGAAGCAGTAAAATGTCCCTGTGCCTGTTTTACTAATATATCTCCTCATTAGATTACTATTCCTCATGCATTAATGGCAATCATCAAATTGATTCTGGATCAATCTGCTGATTATTTCCTCCGTGAATCGATCGGTTGTTTGGTTTGTAAAGATTCTGCCGTCACAGTTACCCAGAGTCCAAAGTGACACGTTCACAACTCTTAACTCTTAACTTAAAATAATAAAAATGACTAAATAATCAAAATAGTTGTAATTATTAGTAAGTAATTTTCTGACTACTGGCCTAATGGTTTCAGCTGTATTTGGGTGTTTCTGTGTGTTTTGTTAATATTAACAGTAGTAGACGTAGAAAGTGGCGTGTTGAGTTTATGTGCAGTACAACAGTTTCTAGTGTTGATACAATACTTAAGTCTGAAAAAAGTATACTCTTTTTCACTTCAAAGTTTTAAAAAAAGTTAAATGTTGTCTAAACACATGCAGCAGTACAAGAATTTTACCTAAATAAGTCTAAAATGGATTTGATTTAACTGAGAAACTATCTGATGAAAGTACAGAGGAGGACCGACCTGAGCTGCTTAATCCAAAAGCGGACATCGATTTAAAAAAATCAAACAAGTTTACTCCATTTTCCTGTGATAACAGGATAATTTTCTTGAACGATCTAACAAACGGTCTTATGCAGAGGTCAGCATGTAGGTTTTTTTTTTTTTCATTGTGCCTGCCTACTGAAATAGCTGTCAGGAGGTGTGAGATTGGATTCCCCTTAATGAGAAGCTCAGGACTTTCCTCTGCATGGAGATACTGGGGAAATGAAAATAAGCGTCCAGCGCCTGCTTTATTATGAGCATATGAAACAGTCTCTTCATAAGAACTTTGTTTAAGAGCATAATTAGGCATCAAACACACAACCCAGTCCTGCGCTCTGCCGACTGAGCTAACCAGGGACACTGACGATAAACAAACCTACCTGTCAATCCCTTTACTACACCGTTACATCATCTCAAGATAATTATCCCATTGTCACGGGAAAACGGAGGAAGACATTTTTGAATCAATGTCCGCTTACTGGTCAGTGTGGTGGGAATTGCGTGTTTAAATAAACAGCTCAGGCAAACAGTTGTCTTTCTGTGAGTTTTATTCAAGTCTTCTGCAGAAGGACTCACAGCAAAACACATACACCGTGTACATGTATGCTCGAATAAGTGAGGAGAGCTCCGTGAGCCTGTGATTTATCCAGCTTTAGGGTCAATCTTATCGTCCCACAGAGACACATTGTCCCTGAAGTCTGGATACCACAGAGAACAGAGATATTTTGACTGTTACGTTTACACAGATTCAGAGCCACATCACAGATGAGTCTCCCTGAGTCCAGGGTTACATGCAATATGTTTGGAACTCCCATTACAACAGTAAAGCTGAAGGTTGATGTTTTAAAAACACCAGCAGAAGCAGGACTTCCTCCTCGGTGTGATGATGAGTCACCAGTCAGTGAAACGGGCTTAGTGGAATACCAGAAGCTGTTGTTTTGGTCCTGTGGTGACCCTCTGTGACCCCTTCATTCTCCCTGGATAAAAGGCTTTCCTCGCGCTGCCTTCAGGTTCTGTCTGAAATACTGTAAATATGAGGACCAAGCTGCTGGGTACCAACATGTGACTTTATTTCAGAACAACAACAAGAGACGACTAATATTTACATCCCGTTTGCATTTGTGTCCTGAATTACGCACATGTCGTTTGTCATTCAAGAAAGTCGCAGTTTGTCGTAAAACTGAAAAATACGTAATTACAAAGACCCCAAACCCAGAAGTCTGGTATGTGACGTCTCAATGATTAAAACCAACTCCAAAGAGGTTCCAAGATTCAAGATGTGTAGATGATGTGATGAAAGGACCAGCAGCTAAGGTACCTAGCCAGAAGCAACCAAGCAATGAACGTTAGCTTAGCATTACAGCGCTAACATCTTGGTGATGTATATAGTAAATATTTGAAGTATCTTTTCATGTGATGACAATGAAGAAATTACACTTTGTAAAGTATTACAGTGTAAAGTAGTGAGTGTGCAGCTTGTATAACAGTGTAAAGTAGTGAGTGTACAGTTTGTATAACAGTGTAAAGTAGTGAGCGTACAGCTTGTATAACAGTGTAAAGTAGTGAGCGTACAGCTTGTAAAGTAGTGAGCGTACAGCTTGTAAAGTAGTGAGCGTACAGCTTGTAAAGTAGTGAGCGTACAGCTTGTAAAGTAGTGAGCGTACAGTTTGTATAACAGTGTAAAGTAGTGAGCGTACAGCTTGTATAACAGTGTAAAGTAGTGAGCGTACAGCTTGTATAACAGTGTAAAGTAGTGAGCGTACAGCTTGTAAAGTAGCGAGCGTACAGCTTGTAAAGTAGCGTGCGTACAGCTTGTAAAGTAGCGAGCGTACAGCTTGTATATCAGTGTAAAGTAGCGAGCGTACAGCTTTTATAACAGTGTAAAGTAGTGAGCGTACAGCTTGTATAACAGTGTAAAGTAGTGAGCGTACAGCTTGTAAAGTAGCGAGCATACAGCTTGTAAAGTAGTGAGCGTACAGCTTGTATAACAGTGTAAAGTAGTGAGCGTACAGATTGTATAACAGTGTAAAGTAGTGAGCGTACAGCTTTTATAACAGTGTAAAGTAGTGAGCGTACAGCTTGTAAAGTAGCGAGCATACAGCTTGTAAAGTAGTGAGCGTACAGCTTGTATATCAGTGTAAAGTAGCGAGCGTACAGCTTGTATAACAGTGTAAAGTAGCGAGCGTGCAGCTCGTATATTAGTGTAAAGTAGCGAGCGTACAGCTTATAAAGCAGTGAGTGTACAGCTTGTATAACAGTGTAAAGTAGCGAGCGTACAGCTTGTAAAGTAGCGAGCGTACAGCTTGTAAAGTAGTGAGCGTACAGCTTGTATATCAGTGTAAAGTAGTGAGCGTACAGCTTGTAAAGTAGCGAGCGTACAGCTTGTAAAGTAGTGAGCGTACAGCTTGTATAACAGTGTAAAGTAGCGAGCGTACAGCTTGTATAACAGTGTAAAGTAGCGAGCGTACAGCTTGTAAAGTAGTGAGCGTACAGCTTGTATAACAGTGTAAAGTAGTGAGCGTACAGCTCTTAAAGCAGTGAGCGTACAGCTTGTATAACAGTGTAAAGTAGTGAGCGTACAGCTTGTATAACAGTGTAAAGTAGCGAGCGTACAGCTTGTAAAGTAGCGAGCGTACAGCTTGTAAAGTAGTGAGCGTACAGCTTGTATATCAGTGTAAAGTAGCGAGCGTACAGCTTGTATAACAGTGTAAAGTAGCGAGCGTACAGCTTATATAACAGTGTAAAGTAGTGAGCGTAAAGCTTGTAAAGTAAGTGAGCGTACAGCTCGTATATCAGTGTAAAGTAGCGAGCGTGCAGCTCGTATAACAGTGTAAAGTAGCGAGCGTGCAGCTCGTATAACAGTGTAAAGTAGCGAGCGTGTAGCTCGTGTAACAGTGTAAACTAGTGAGCGTGCAGCTCGTATAACAGTGTAAAGTAGCGAGCGTGTAGCTCGTGTAACAGTGTAAACTAGTGAGCGTACAGCTTGTGTAACAGTGTAAAGTAGTGAGCGTGCAGCTTGTGTAACAGTGTAAAGTAGTGAGCGTGCAGCTTGTATAACAGTGTAAATCTGCTGTCCCCTCAAAATAACACATCACACTGCATTAATGTCTAACACGCTGGCAACAAAAGTGAGGACTCCAACTTTCATGACTTAAATTATTTTTTTAATGGACAAAAATCAAATGTGTAATTCAGGACACAATATTTCTTCAGAAATAAGGTCCGATGGAGCCTTAAGTGAGGTACTTTGGCTGTCTGTGTGTCGATGTTTGGCCTCTGGCGTTGGTGTATTTCTATTTTCCCTCAGTTTGAAACAGAAGTCTGGTGCACATCACAATCATTTTTTTTTTTGTCCTTTGTTTTTGTCTCTCTTGCAGGACGAGTTTCCAGAGGTGTTGAAGTGGAGGAGGAAGCCCTCGCTCCCCGCCGTCTCCTCGTCCCTCCCAGACTTGCTGGGAAACTCCACCCCCGGCCTCACCGCCGACACGACCTTCAGCACGCACACGCTCACCGGTAGGCCCGTCCATCTGTCAATCAGCATTCACAGGAAATGGCCATTTATACTTCGATCCTGCATGTCGTCGCAAGCATTTATACAAAGACAATGTAAACTGATAAACATTTGAAACAAATGTAAATGTACCCGAGTAAGCCGCAGTCCGTTCTCCCCGATGTTAATATCGTCCTAAAATAATCTTGGATGACACCAGCATTGCTCTGACAGCAGTAATAGGATGGCGATTGTCTAATTGATGGTGGTAGGTGGAGGAGTCCCACTGATGTGAGGATGTGAATGAAAAGACGGCCTGCATGAATGTAGTTTTTCTGAGTGGGATTTTTCAGTCCCTCCTAGCTACACCTCTCTGTTTGCGGTTGATTTGAAGTTGATGAGCCCAGTCAAATGAGGAGGAGGAGCTAAACTGTGCGTGATATAAACTAAGCAGATATTTTTTTATTTGATTGTTATGGTGGAGTATGTATTGTTGTGTCAGTTAATTTTTCATTAGGTTACTTTACATCAGTGGGTACTCCCTAATCCCATACTGGGATGTAACATTGAGGTTTTCCCCGCTAAGCAGATTATACTTCTTTAGAATATAGCAGTGATGGTAACTAAATGGCCTTTTGTCTAGTGGACCAACAAGGTGTGCAGTGGACCAACTTATCAGACAGCAGGTGATGTGGGAGCGAACCAGTGAGTGGAAGTATAACTTAGCTGCCTCAGCTGGTTTCTGGTATACCTGAAATTACAGACCCTTATGTGGTTTTTGAAGCCAAGATTTGGGTTATGTCTACTTATAAATACTTGCATTCTGAGAAAACTTTTAGTCTCTCTCCTGAAATGAAAATGTCTTGCTCTACATCTACGCTCGAGCCTTTTGAGTTGCAAACAACACTGATGTGACCAGGATGTGACTTCACTAAATGATTAAATGTCAGCTTGATTGTTACCTCTTCAGCAGGTAAAAATAACTTCATCATCGTCGGTGTACGGCGGCTGAAACTGAGCAGATCATGTTGGAGCGGATCGATGTTGAAGATCAGTAATTTTTAGTGAAAGTACTAAACGACCCTCGAGGCAGAAGAAGCTACCGAGCTGACGGATCACGGTTCTTGCGGTCTGCGTAGCCGAAACGTGTTGTTGCATTTTTAGTGAGGTGCGTGTCAGGGAACGGAGTAGATTCAACGCGGAAGTATAAATCCTTTAGAGACAGAGAGATGGCTTTACTGGTTATTTATTTTATTTTATTTATTTGATGAACTATATGAATTGAATTCACAACACAAACACGTTTTTTAATTAAATTGTTTATTTGTATTTTTTTATTTAAACTCTTACTGTTTTAAACAGTATTTAAATACACACATTTAATGTTTTATCTATTTATTTTTTTTATTATTTGCACACACATTTACGGTTTCATCTTTTATTTATTTTCATTTAAAGGACACACGTTTACTGTTTTACTGTATTTTATTTTATTTATTTAATAAATAAATTACAAAAGAACAATTCATTTCATTAAATAAGTGAATAAAACAGTAAAAGTGTGTGTTAAAAAATATATATATAATATAGAATATAAAAATAAAGTACAAATAATAAAAATAAAAATAAATTAAAAAAAACAGTAAGCATGTGTTGTGAATTCAATTCATATGGTAACAATAATAGTAAAAACGTGTATATGTATTAATAAACAAAAAATAAAATAAATATCTAAAAAATCAGTATCAAATGCGAAATAAAAATAATAATAAAGGAACAATTATTAAAATAAACAATGAGAGTAATAATAAATTCAAAATTTTAAAGTAGAATTATTTAATATATTATTTCATTTAAACAAACACGTTTACTGTTTTATCTATTTTATTTTATTTGTTTGTTTTTATTTAAACACACACACTCTTACTGTTTTTTTTATAAATGTATCTTTACTTAAACACACACACACAATTACTGTTTCATCTATTTGATTTTATTTATTTAACTGAATGAAACTGTGTTTCCTTGTGTGTGTAGACAGCAGTTTGGAAACAGAGAAGATCCTGCTGACAGAACCAGTACCTGAACTGAGTCACATGGAGTACCAGCTGCTGAAACTCTTCATCCTGCTGTGAGTCCCACAAAACCCAAAACCTCCAGAAAACAAACCAAAGGTTGATAAAACTACGAAGCCACTCTGTTGATTTTCCCCTTAAAACATCCCCTAAAGTTATTTTTGGTAGATAATATCTTCTTTCAGAACTTGAGCAGACCGTTAAAAACATCCAGGATGCAACAAAAAAGAGACAAAAAAGTTTTTTATTGTTGGTCTGTGCTGCCACCTGCTGGTGGATGTTCTGTATGAGCAGCCTGTTCATCCAGCACTGCAGCCTTTAAAAACATTAATATATAATATATATTTTATCTCTCTACCTTGAAACAATTGTTTGTGTTGCTCACAGATTTTTATTTTAATTTACTAGGAAGTTTCCTGCAAAACAAAATCACAAATCTTTTCTTGTTGTTTTCATTTCACACTTGCTTTTGCAACGCAGCCATTTTGACCTGGAAATCATAATTTCTTTCAGGTTTCAAGTCTGATTTTTGCTCCTGAGTGAAAGTTAATTGTGGTTTTCTTTATGGCCAGAACAAACACTTGATGCCAAACACTGGATGACTTCACTAATTTAGGGTATCTTTTCTCAACAAACTGAATATCTTGAGAGAAAAATGAAGTGCTGAACATACACACAGGAAAATACTACTTTTAAGGCCAGACATGGGCTGGCAACTACAGATTGTAACCTCAATAAATCAGTTAGTTGTGTGGTCTATAAAATGGTGAAAACTATTGATCAGTGTTTCCTAAAGCTCAAGATGAGGTCCTCAAACGTTTTGTTTTGTCCACAACACAAAGATTTTCAGTTTACTGTCACAGAGGAGGAAAAGAAACAGAAAATATTCACATTTAAGAAGCTGGAATCAGAGAATTTCTCACCAAAGAATGACTCAAACCTGTTAATTAATGATCAAACTAGTTGGCGATTAATTTAATCGCTGCAGCTCTAGCTGACACCGTCATATCTCTCTGAGCTTTTATCCTCCTGTGAGCCGGGACGCAGAGTCAATTCAATTCAATCTAGCTTTATTGGCATGAATGTAAAACAACAATATCTCCAAAGCTACAAATAAATTACAAAAGAACAATTCATTTCATTAAAGTAAATAAAACAGTAAAAGTGTGTGTTAAAAAAAAGAAATTTATATATATGAATATATATATATATATATAATATATAAAATTAAAGTACAAATAAATTAAAAAAAACAGTAAGCATGTGTTGTGAATTCAATTCATATGATAATAACAGTAAAAACGTGTGTGTTTATTAACAAAAATAAAATAAATATCTAAAAAAATCAGTATCAAATATGAAATAAAAATAATAATAAAGGAACAATTATTAAAATAACAAACAATGAAAGTAATAATAAATTTTAAAAAATCTAATTTTCAGTCCAGTCTGAGTTCCCACTGGTTGTCCTCATTTCGTGGCACGAGGAGACATATTTTGCTGCAATGATTTGGCATTCTGGCATTTCTCCCAGTAAACAGGGGAGTTTCTGTCTGATAGTCTGTTCCTGGTTTCACTTTTTTTTATACAAAAAAAAGCTTCTACTGTGTGATGCCCATTTTATTTTTCATTCATTTGCATATTGACATGTTTAATTTAATTTACACACATTGATTATCGTAAATCTCTTTGAAACCTTTTTATTGAACTCTGCTCCCGTGCCTGTAAAACCCCTTTAAATGAGTATTTCAGTCAGTGCTGAGGAACATGCAAAACTGGCCAGTTTGTCTACAGGCAAACAGACAATTCAACACACAGTATGTGAAGAATAAATGAATAACCATCAATAAAGAATAAATAAAATTCAAGGAGAAGTCTGGAAATCCAGAAAAAGGGTCAGAAGTTCATTTAAACTAGTCCGTATGGAAACTGCGGACAGCTTCAGGACCAGACGTGGAAACACTTTGACACATGAAACTAAAATGTCTTAAAAACTATGAGCACTTTTACATGCTGACGCGTTCCAGGCTGCTATTTTGAGGTGCATCATGTGCCAGAAATGTAATAAAAATGTTTATTTATCCATGTGACAGAACACCTTTTTTGGTTCTAGTCTTTTCTACATGTTACAATGTACAATGCTGTTTACTGATATGATATTATTGGTCTGTGTGTCCCTCAGCGTCTTCCTGTTGGTCCTGTCTTCCTGCTATCTGGCCTTCAGAGTTTGTCGTCTGGAGCAGCAGCTGAGCTTCCTGAGCAGCCAGCCGACACTCAGAGAGAGGTACGCACACGTTAGTGAGGGCGCTCATTTACATAAAACATGTCCCGGCTTCGAAACCTAATCCAAGTCAAACTTTCTCTCCGAGAGTCAGATGTTCTGATGGATCTCCGTCTGAAGTCTGTGCGTTCAGTAGGGGGTTAGCTTAGCTTAGCATAAAGACTGGGAGCAGGGGGAAACAGCTAGCCTGGCTCAATCTTAAGTCAAAAAATAAATTTACCAACACATCTAAAGCTCTCCGATTATCATGACTAACTTTATTTATAAACCGCTAACAGAGTTACAACGTGCTTAACATGGTTGAACAAAAATTAATAAAAACATTAAGTAAAGCAATTTAAAATTACATAAAGTTAAAAGAAATAAGATTCAGTTAAACGGACACATAGGACGAGATTAGTGGTGTGACGAGATCTCGCGCCACGAGATTGTGAAGATATTTCTCGTCAGGAAAAAAGCTGTCAAGCCACGTATTGATTGAACACAATGAAACATAAATGTGTAACTGATTAGATCAACTCCACCCAGCTGATTGACGCCGGCGTACGCTGTGACAGTTAGTGTTTCAGTTACTTTCGGTTTCACATGTGACATGGAGTCCCAAACTGCGCCGGTCAAACGACCGCAGAAAGTTTTCAACACGAGCAGAAACGCTGCTGAAACGCAGGAGCTAACAAATCTTAACGCAAAGAGTAGCTCCTAGTGACAAAATTCTAAGAAAATTCTTAGAAATGTGGGCGTTTACTCTTAAAATTAAAGAAAAAATCCTAGTAAAGAAAAAAGTATTTCAGAAAGTCTTTTAACCCTTAAAAGAGGTCTTAAGGTCAAATTTGTTAGGAGCACGGCCGAGGACTTTTAAGAGGCTTAAGAGTTTCTTTAGTAGAGGAGAATATGGCAGAAAGATGAAGAGGGAGAAGAAACGTGTTGCAGACAATGGATGACAGTGAGTTAATCAGACGCTATAGATTAGATCGTGCAGGGATCATGTTTGTGACTGATCCGACACAGCGCAGGAATGCCATAGCGCCAGAAGTGAAAGTAATCACTACATTACGATATTTGGCAAATGGGAAAATGCAATGCCACCTTGCAGGCTCAAAAAACAAGCAGGGGGAATGAACCGTTAATAGTTTGTGCTATACGCTCCCACGTCTGCTTCTCGCCCCGCGCTGTGACAACCGGCCCGAATTTTGCTTTTAGAATGGCCTTGTGTTCATCCACTAACTGGGCTAACAGTAAACACTGTTCCTCTGTCCAGTCGGGCTTTCTCGCCCTTCTTGGTTTTGATTCCATGTTTGATACATTCATACCACCACTTAAATAGACATGCCAGCAATCAGTGTAACTGGAAAGAGTGGAACAATTTTTATCATTCTAAGCCAATCAAATACCTTATAGGAAATTAACAGCGTGGTAAATAAAAACAGGATTTATATACACATATACAATGTGTGCGAGTGTGTGTGAGAACGGTCAAACAGGAAATATTACGCATGTAATTTCCAAGCTTAGAATAGAAGCTTTACTTAAAATCACTCTTTTTTTTCTCTTCTTGGTTAAACCAACCAATCACAGTCTTCAAAAGATTGTGTCATACATAGCAACGGGGTCAACCCCGCCTCCTCCTACTCCATTAAGAGTTTTCTGAGCGGATTCTTAGAATCTTAATGAATACGGGCCCAGGAGTTTATAACTAAATTAAAATTAAATCATTTATTATTGAGGTAAAAAGGAGCCACAGTCACATTTAAAGAGGTTACTTCCCCAAACAAAGAAAGACACAAGAGGAGGGAAGACTGAACCATTAACACATAAATAAAATGAATCACTATAAATTGGTGCAGAAAAAATCATCAGAATGCAGGAAATAAAGTGTTTAATGCTCAAAACTTTTTTCGACCTGAACCTTGTTTCTTTGTTCCTCTCTCCAGGTGTGGGGAGGTGCCCTGCTGGCTGGCCAATCAGAGGACAAGAACCTGACGCTGAAGCAAATCAGGGAGTGAAGTGAGGACATATGCAGTCACATAGACTTCCCTTTAGCGGGGCGGCGGGGAGAGGAGACAGACGGACGACTGCGGCAGCTGATCCCGCCCGCGACCTGGTTACAATAGAGACTTCCCAGTAGTCAACAGAAGCAGTAGACTGACCTCTGACCTCTGAGGACAAAGTGTTTGAGTGTAAGAGGTCCGGAGGCTGGAGAGACGACAACATGCTGTAACATAACTGAGATGTAGGTGGTGTGTGTGCTTCCATGTAAAACACACACTGGCCGTTAGGTGTGTGTGAGTAGTTCAGGTTAACGTGTTTTTTTATGCAGACACTGCTGGATGTGATGAGCTGGGAGGAGCTGCTGCTTCCTGAGTGAACACGGAAACTCAGGACTCTCCAGGATAAAGTGAAGTCGACGTTCTGCCCACCAGCTAGATTATTATTATTATTATTATTATTTTTTCAGAGATAGCAGCGTTGTTTTCTGTCAGTTTGGCGGTTAAGTCTAACCAACTACAATACCCATGAGCCTCAGCTGCTGTTGCTTTGGAGAAGAAGCCCCGCCCCTTCCGGTGGACCACCATGGGACCTTATTTTGAAAAAAATACGTTCAGTAGTCAACGGCGTCCCGTTTGAATTGTGTCCTGAATTCCTGAACATGATGTTTGTCGGTTTAAAAGATCGTTTAAGTCAAGAAAGTCGCAGTTTGTTTAAGTATAAGTCTGTGAAAATACGTAATTACAAAGAGCACAAACCCAAAAGCGATCTGTTTCGTTACACGTCGTGGACATGGTGAATATTTTACAAGCACGGGCCTGATAAAGCTGAACACACCAGTGCGGCTGTCATTTTACAAGCCTGCGTGCAGCGTACCTGCGGCTGAAAATGGAATCGCAGTTGGAAATTGCAAGTTCGGTGTCTTTTTGGCGACTTTACAGAACGATCTGCTGATGGAGAGAGAGAGCAGAGCAAGACACATACAGGGAGAGAGAGAGAGAGAGAGACAGAAAGAGGCGGGGCCACAGCAGGTGTGTTTGCAGCAGAGGTGAAGGCAAATGGAGTTAAGCTAGGGAGTAAACACTTAAATACAGGTGGAGAATAAAGCAGAATTAAAATGATTAAATAAGAAATAACCCGAAGCTACTACAAATAGAAATAAACGCCGATAACCCCAAGTAAATGTTACTAAACGGTTTTACATCAAACTGTGACTTTCTTAACTTTAACTTTACATTTCAAACGGGATCTAAACATTAGTCGTCTCTCGCCGTTGACTTCCGTACGTATTTTTAACGAAATAAGTTCCAGTGGGGCGGAAGCGAGGGAGCTCAGGCTGTCAACCAGAGCAGTCGCAAATTTAAAACACTATTGGCTTTGAAACGGAAGGCAGCTGTCTCGATACCGTAACAGACAGCTGCCTCAGAAGGCATCATTTGCAAGTGAAGGCAGCTCTGTTTACATTAGTTTCCAACAGCCTTCTAGGGCAGCACATACGGCAACGTGTGACGTCAGTACGCCGACTTAGCATAAGCTAACTAGCTATTGAAAAGCCAAACAGCCAACAGACGCCTCAGAAATCATACTGAACAAACTTGGTTGGTCACAGTCACGGCTGATATTATAGTTCAACGTTTAGTTGTCGCTAGATTTTCAAAAATCGACACAAGAAAACTACAAAACACTTAAAAACGTCTATTTGTGTACAAATTCAGCTTGTTTGTCCGCCATCTTGACCAGTTTTCGAAAGCTCCGGCAGCAGCAGCTGCACTGCTTTATGGGTAATAGTCAGCATCAATGCTGCCTTCAAAACTGGCCGTTAGTGGGGCAGCTTGAAGGCATCTCAGGAGACAGGAAGAGATCGTTCGAGCCGTTTCGAACAGCACTTGATGCCTCGCTGTCCTGTTAGACACCTTCTGAGACAGCAGTTTAGTCTGTTTCCAACACAGCCATTGTCTTTTAATTTGTGTTCAAAACACCTGTTGGACCATCGTTACTGATGTGAAGCTCTGTGATTGGGCATTTCCTGGGAGTCGGAGTCCACTTCTCTCCTTCAGTTCTTGTGTCCTCGGGCATCGCGTACCTTTTATCAAAGAAAGCAGATATTTTCTAACACAGTGGTTCATCTTGATGAGTTTCATGTCCGTCAGAGACGTGAAGAGAGAGAACGGTCAGTCACGTGAAAGGAGTCGGCGCTCGTGCCAGTGTCTTCACCTCATGCTGAACGCTACGACTTGTTCAGGCTAAAGTTACACCTGGCAGTTAGTGGGTGTAAGTATTTAAAGGAGACCTATTATTGCTTTTCCACATTTTATGACTTATCTTCACTGTTACAATGTTGGATGTTCATGTTAAAAATGGCTAAAGCTTCAAAAAATGAGGTTAAAGCATTTAAAAGAAATCCCTGTGAGCAGAAACCTCAGATTTCCTCCTGTTCTGAACGCTCGGTTTTAAACTGCTTTTTCTACCAACGGCTCCGTAATACGAAACCAGGAACCAGACGGAGCCGCTGTTCTATATATGCGCTCAGTCTGCCTGTTCTGCCCAGCGACAACAACAGCCTGGTAACATGCTTCAGGTCTTGGCCAATCAGAAGACAGTGGGCTTTGAGGGGGGGGGCTTAAAGAGACAGGAGCATCTACAGCTTGTTTCACACAGAGGCTGAAATGAAGGCCTACATGACGTACAAAATATATTTTTTTTTTTTTAACTTTCAATCATGCAAAGCTGCCATACAGGAGTCACCGAACTACAATATAGGACTGGCAGTATAATAGGTCTCATTTAACAACTAATCTACATAACTAGTTTGTGAGGCGCAACCTGTTTAATGATAATATAACTGCACTTGGCCTTCTTCTAAAGAGATCTGGGTTTTTTTTATTGACTGTAACAGACTGAAGTGTGAACTGTCTACTGCCTGAAAGTGACCCGCATGGGCAAAAGGATAATACAACATCAAACGCAGCACAATGTAAGTAAGCCCTACAGCCCGACCGATTTATAGTTTTGCAGATGTTATCGGCCGATATAAGCTACTTGCAGATATAGCTGCATCAGCATTTATAAAAGCCGATATTTGACTATTAAAAAAGAGAAACAGAGAGTCAGATCTTTCCCTCATGTCATGAGTGTTGCATAATTTGCCAACAACAACACTGCAGCACCACAGAACAAAACGTCAGGGGCTCCGCCGGGGAGCTACGGTGAGGAGCTCCTGTTAGCGCTCACACTTAGTGTTCCCGGTGAACAAGTCAATTACCTGACTTAAGGGCTATTTTTTATTATTATTTATCACTTTTCCTTTTCGGAGACCAGACTTGCTAACCCTCCCGTTTTTCACTGCCATCTGTAGGCTCAGCAGGGCGTTTAATGTTACGATAGTGTTGGAGGCTACGCTGCTGACAGACGTGATTGTAGATTTATTTCTGAAACAATTTGGCGGTTCTAGCGACCGGTCCTCTCATTTCTCTCTAATTTATTACTTCTAAATATTTTCTAACATCGCCAACAGCAGATAACGCTTTGTTGTACTTTTGTTCAAAGTACTATTTCTAACAATAACAAAGTTTATTTTTAAACTGCATTATGTCTTGGTATCTTGGTGAGGTCTCAACATAACAAATGTTTAGGTTAGAATGAGGCTCCATTTCCTTTTAAAACTCAGACCTTCTACTAAAGTTTCTTCCTCCCGATCTGAACACCTAAAACAGAAAATTCTGAAAACGCTGCTGACCCCGTTTTGGTTTTAACTGCGAAGTAGCGTTAGTGCGGACTTCGTTCGTCTCTAGTAGGACTTTCCTTCTTTAGCCGAATCTTCTGCAGCTGCGGAGTAGACTATCTGCTTCCTGTTTACACCGGCACGCACATGCTCAGTGTACGTGAACGGCCGCATGATGTGCGTTTTCAAACGTTTTAATACAGACGGCGATCAATTCGGCTACGCAGCTAAAACGCTGGTGTGGACGCAGATCGTTCTTTACTTTAAAACAAAATCGAGTAGTCTGGATGTAGCCTTAGGGCCAATCAGAGGCAGAGTACGCCAGGACTCAAAGCCGGTGTCCGTCAAATGAGAGTTGTCGTCTACGGTTTTATTTTTAAGTTGATTTCAGGTGGAAGAAAGGGAATCTGTGAGCAGACGATAGCGAAGACGAGGAGAAAGAAAGCCACATGTTGCCTATCTCTCTCCCGGCTGAGTAGAAAAGATTAACAACTGTGTTAGAAAATGTCCGGTTCTTTAGTAGAAAGGTGCAAACCTCAGGAGGACAGTTTAACTCCCAGACACGTCGCTGTTAGAAACGTCCAATGAAAAGATTAAATGTCTGTAGCTGCACCCACTGATGGAGCGGCTTTTTCTTTAGAGTTCTCAGGTTCTGGGTGGTGAAAGGAACAATTTCACATTATTTCTTATAAACTACATTAAAATATTAACAAAACTCAGTAAGTGTCATTAAATCATCCTGGAGGGTTGCTACTTATAGAAATATTAAGTTATTAAAGAAAACTCAAATGTTGTTGTTCTGGAAGCTGCAGCTCTGCCCACATCAATGTTATATTTGTTGTGCTTCCGCCATTTCCATTCATATCTATCTAAAACTTTTTAAGATTTACAAAGTGCCAGAGTTTAGAATATCATCTGTAAACACACAGAAATAATCTAAATCAGCAAAAGTTTGACTTTTTGACAGATCAGGTCTAACTGCTGCCTTAAACGCACGATGTAGTCTCTGATATCGTTTTTAAAAACTATTTATGTGAAGAATTTTTGACTAAAAAGGTTGTGACTGTTGGAGAGTAAATCTGTCACCTCCCCTAAATGTGAATATCTTGGCACTTTTTGAGATTATTTTGGTTTTCGGTGCCAAAATCTGTGACATGATGTGTTTGTATGACGATAAGAAAAGAGAAATGCACAGCAGGTGATAACTTACCAGAGCTGGACTCCCACGTAGAAACCACCTTCAACTCTGCCGCCTGTTGGAGAAAGTACACAGTGAAACGCTCGTGTACACGGCGGGTCGATACCTGCCGAAGAAGAGATGGAAGCAGAGCTCAGGATGAGGACAGACATGGTGAAGACACACGCTGGAGTTTCTCTTCTAACTCATTATTGTGTTCACTAATAAACACATTTCCATCTTCTTATTGTCTTTAATTACTGCTGTCTCTGCACACCTGTTGTTAAGGGCTAGGACGAGAAGGAAGGGAGGGAAGGAGACAAGAAGGACAGGAAGGAAATGAGAAGGGGACGAGGGAGACGAGAAGGGGAGGAGACAAGAAGGGAAAGAAGTATGTGAGAATGGCGAGAAGGAAAGGATAAAAGAAAGGGAGGAAGGAGACAAGAAGGGCAGGAGAGAAGCAGGGGAGGAGACAAGAAAGGGAGCAAGGAGACATGTAGGGAAGGAAGGAGATCAGAATGGCAAGAAAGAAATCAGCAGGGGAGGAAGGAGACATGCAGGGAAGGAAGGGGAGGAGCAGGGGAGGGCACAAGAAAGGGAGGAAGGAGACAAGAAGGACAGGAAGGAAATGAGAAGGGGGACGAGGAAGATAAGAAGGGAAGGATAAAAGAAGGGGAGGAGACAAGAAAGGGAGGAGACGAGAAGGGAAGGAAGTATGTGAGAATGGCAAAAAGGAAATGCGAAGGATAAAAGAAAGGGAGGAAGGAGACATGCAGGGAAGGAAGGAGATGAGAAGGGAAAGAAGGAGACAAGAAGGGCAGGAGAGAAGAAGGAAAGGAAGTAGGCTACAAATTCAGGATACTTGTACTCCACCAGACCTCAGAAGGAAATATTGCACCCTTTACTTGCCCACATTTATGTGACAGCTTTAGTTACTCGTTACTTTACAAACTAGATAAATGCATAAAATCTTTTTGGTTATCAATTAAAGTCAGTAAGTAAACAACAACTGAAACAATTAGTTGATTAATCAATTAGTCAAGATGTCAGAAATGTACAATTTTGTTAATGGTTGAAGGTCTTTTTCATGAGTGTATACATATGATTTCTGTCATTAACGTTGAGCTTTGGACTGTCGGTTGGACACAACAAGCGTTGTGAAGGTGTCACTTTGGGCTCTGGGTTATTAATCAATCGACCAATACAGCAGAAACATCCTGCTTTACATTAATACATGAGGAATAATAATCTCTAAGAGAATATTTAACTGTACAACAGGGCCATTTTACTGCTTTAATACTTTAAGAACGTGATTATACTCATTAGTACTATTACTTAAGGATCTGAGTACTTCCTGCACACATTTTCAGAGGAATAATCAAAGACTGGACAGAATAATAAAAGGCATGAAAAGTGACTCGAGTCTAAAATGTGTGAAACACTCACCGACTGAAGTCTTCAGAGATGAGCGGGATCAGAGGATGGAGGCTGTCAGGACTTAATCCACATCTGTGTGCGCTTTTCTGTATTATAAATTCTTTATTCAAAATTTCCACTAAGTTTGAGATACTGGAGTTTTGATTTCCACAAGCAAAAAAAGGCTTGATATATTTCACTTTATGCACAAGTTTCAC